GGAAGCTTAATTCAACTGTATTGTTTATGAGCGTTTTGTTTTCTAAACTGGATATTCTTGTTAAGTTTGACCAACGTTATTTATTGTCCAGACACTGCGTATGCCAGGAATCATGAAGATGACCAATGGTATTCATATGATGATAGTAGCGTCACGCCCATCAGTGAATCACAAATTGTGGTTAGTAAACTATTTCATTACTTTTTTTTTCATTCTATTTATGAATTCGTTTGCTTATCCAGTCATTCATTCATCTATCTATCCATCCATTCAGTCGTTTATTTCTTTTCCTAGTCCAAGGCTGCGTACGTTCTCTTCTATCAACGTCGTAAAATCAGCAGTAATGATGTCCAGTCTGATGGATGTCACGATGAGAATATGAGTGAACAGAGTTCTCSTGACGAGAGAGGTGACGAGTCAATGGATACCTAATGATGAATTATAAGGTTTGTTATCTAACGGTCTTCCTCGAAATCCCAGGGAACGCCGGGACGAGAGGAAATACCATTCGCTCTTTCTAAACAAAAGAAAGAAAGACAAAAGAAAACTAAGACAAAATGTAATTTAAACAATGATATTGTTTTCTGGGAAAATGATCTTTACGATTTGATGCTGGATATTCCCGAAAGTCCCCGGGATTCTGGGGATGCCAAGTGTGAGGTTTTTGTTTATCACGCCAGTATTAATAGGTCTAAAGAAGGCATTTCAATTTCAGAGCATCAATAGCAAGTCAGTGACTGCTTCTAAGGCTGCTAACAACCTTTTACACAAGAATGAAGACTTCWCTTCTGATATTTGGTCGCCGGAGCCTGGATCCTGGATCATTCTACGTCAGGGCGCAGGCTTCGGCTGAAAATCAGAACATCTTCAAATCACATGAATTTTAGTGCACTCTTGATCTATYGCAATGAGAGAAAGCTAATCATTCAATTAAGCTAATCAACAAAACCGAGGAACAACCGCTAATAGACCCCGCCTCATTRGAGCTCGAAAAGAGGACGGTAAAGCACAATACTTTAGTTTGGTCTCATGAAACATGGCATCTATTTACATCAATATCGTCCATGAAGGATAATAAMGTCTTGGTGGATAGTTGTAACCTGGTTGTATTTGTAGTATGGTCAAGASACCTAGTTTGCAGGTCAAATAAATGGCACTAGAGTAGAAATATATTATTGAGCACCATTACAAAGAGTCAAATCTCATTAATTGCTGCGTAGTCAGTTTTTGCAAAATAACGTGACGAAATAGTTAAGATTAAATAAATCTGAGGTTGTTATGGAATAATTTATTGTAAATTTTATATTTGTATTTCAAGCAAAACTTTATGACAAAAAAACCACTCCTATCCTAGGTTATTTTAAACCTGTTTTCATTGTAAATCCAGTAACCGTATTCAGACAGTTTTTCAGTTGTAATGTTCATTAATGTAATTCCCTTTTATTTACATCTGAAATTGGTATTTTCATCAAAGGAACGAATAATGAAACGAAGGTCGAGGATTCAACTCTGAGGCAATCCTTAAGACACCGAACATTTTCCGAGTATTCCTCGGTATAGCATTCAAAGTTGAATCTTCTTGTTAATAGTGAATGCCATGCATATTTCAATAGCTCTGATARTTTTGTATTTGCCTAGAATTTCTTCACTACTCGAGCAGAATCGATGACAGATTGGTTGTCTGCGCGCGAATTGAGAATAAGGGCGCGCAAGTTGTTTTTGATATTGAATATTGATAGCAGTGTTCAAAAGGCATTTAAGTAATGTTTAAAGGCCAGTAACTGGAAATAAGGTAGAATACAAGGTACGGGTACTTCCTCTGGTTTCAAGTTACTTCACGTGGTACAAATTACAAACAGGGATTGGCTGAATACCTCATGAATAATTAATGAGTTTTTGAATATCTGTTCATTTATGATTATCGATGAAGGTTTACTGCTAATGACTGAATACTAAAGTACACATCCAATAGTGAATACTCACAGGAACTTGGTTTTGTGTTTATGTGTTCTGCAATCTCACCGATAACCTCAGTCTTTTTTTTGTAGTGTGAAATGTTAGTATTTGTTTGATCGCCAATAAATATATAAGTGACTAAATGATTCTATTGGATTTATTTACTATATACTATAGCTACTAACTATACCCATAGTGCCTAATAACTGCATACTTAATATACCGGCTTAACACTCTAATTACCTACTCTTCTACAGTAAAAACGTAAAAAACGCTTCTTTGTATAAGTTTAGTAAAACCTGCCAGCAGACTAATATACCTTTTCGCTTTACACWATACCCCTGTGGCCAACACACGTACCGATTGACTACATTTGAGTTTATTGAATATGTTATTGATACAATAGACATGAATCATCTTTGATTCTTTTTATTGGTTTATTGCTGCGTTACTTACATTATGAATGGTGTTCACCATGYACCTTTTCATTGTCATAGTTAAGATTGTTTTTTAATGTATATTGGTTTAGCTTATCGACTATGTATGAGTGCATGTTATCACTTCCATTGAAGTCATTTTTCTAAGTTTTTTCCCAATTTAATAAAAAATAGTATGAATATTTTGAAAAAAAATATTTGCAAGTGCATCTCGTCTTAGATAATAATTTTTAGAAATGGCGTCTTTTCGTATGCCACAAAAATTCTATCATCTAAGGTAGAGTAATTTCCATTARTTGCACGATACGATTAGTTTACATCTTCTCAGATGATGGCTTGTCTAATAGAAACTCTTGATTAGCAYGGGGGTTTACTTGTAAAAGAAACTGCAKTCAAACATTTACATGGAAACCGGACCTGGCATTGGRTTGACCGAGTTTCGCACGCCGTTTGGCCTCGAAGACGCTGGTTGGTTAGCAATTCCAAAGAATTCTGTTGGAGCATCGATCTAGAACAAGTGAATACACATAGAAWAAGTGAGAAAGTTTCGTCTTATGATGAATTWSAATCCGCCGTTGATTACCTCGTCTCTGCTGCGTACRCCTCGAATACAGAAGCAGCAGCCGGTCTTTTGTGATGGMACTCCCTTTCTGCAGCAACGAATTTGCCTTGGAATGATATTCTTGGGAATGGTAAAGACGATTTGACCCCAGAACAGCTCGGAAAAACCAAAGAATAAACACCACAACCACTGTTCTGCGTCCATTTGCCTTACGCGRAAGGCGTCTTGGAAGAAAAACACCATTAGGATCTGGAAAAGACAAGACCAGGAAGATGTTATTGGTGATGACACAACATAATGACTCGAAAACAGAGCGAATTTCGTATGACTGTGCAAAAAACATGATACTTTCGCACTGTGACCGTACCGTGTGGTGACGGTGATGTATTGTTAAATCTTTATTTTTATTTGGAATCTTAGAAGGCGAGGTTCCGTGACCGTGCCGTGCCGTGTCCGTATCCTTTGCACAGTCATACGAAATCCGCTCTAGCTTGACACCCACACCATTTTTCGCGAATTTTCGTGCTCTCTCGTAGCCCCGTTCAATGCCGTCTTACCCAATGCGATTCAGTTGTTTGAAATTCAGTACCATGCTGAATAGGGAAAGATGTTTAGACATACAGGGGATTTTTCTTAAATACCGAGCTATAAGAGTTTGACAAAAACATAATGACGCTTTCAAGGTTATGGTGGCCAAGTGCTGTGACAATATGCAATTGAAATCCATACCTGGATACCAAAAGAAAGAATTAGGATGATAAAGAAGGCACAGTTGAATCTTTCCCCCTTGAACAAGAACACATTCCTATCCTGCACTCGTCTGCAGTTAACTTCATTAAACAACTGCATCAAGATAAAKGAKGTAAACACCATTGTAGCGTGTTGACTTGGYTTACAGATMGAGATGCTTCCATAACCATARCGTGTATCAGTAAAGTCAGCGAACACATAAATAAGAATGAAAATAACAGCAATCTGGTACAGAGAATGGAAGATGACGTTACGTAGGACGGCACGTGATATCAGGGGATTGTTTCGTCCATATGGCCTGTGACGTAAAATGTCCGCGGTGGGCTGGTCTCGAGTCAAAGCAATGGAAGCGAGGGCGTCCATTATGAGGTTAAGCCACAGGAGCTGTGTAGCTGAAAACAAGCTTTTCTGRAAAATGAATACAAAGAAATGTCAAGAGGATGTATATTATGGATAATTACACTACTTGTAGTTTTTTGGTAACATCAATATGGAAGAAGAACTTCACTGAACTATTCATGCACGGACGTTATCAGATTACCTGAAACAAGATGGCGCCAACTATCATTACGATGAGCGTCACCCAAGTAGCGGTCAGYTGAAACTGTAAAAACTTGAGTACCGTCTCGTAGATATGTCGGCCATATTTAACCGTTTCTAAAAGCCCAAGAACTTTATCTTCTTTGAGAATGATATCTGACGACTCCTGTGCAACGTTTGCTCCACTWACACCCTGGAAAACACGCTCGCAATTAGCTAAGAAAATAGTCGATACTAGACTAAGAAAGTGAGCATGAAAAAGAAGAGCGAGAAGAACCGACTGAGAGAAGGACTGTTCGCTATTTCTGCACTCAAATTAAAAATATATCGTATGATTGTAAGTTTGTGTATTGAATAATGTTTTCAACAGAATTATGAGCCTACAACTTTCCGAAAGAAGTATGTGCGATCATACCAATGAGATGCCAACATCAGCTTCTTTCAAGAAAGACCCATCGTGCACTCCAGAGGCAACAGCTGCCACAACTTCGCCACTTTCCTTGACGTAACTTCCYTTAATTCCTTTGATAAGTAATGGGCTGCGGTCTGGGGGACAGCTGGCCAGCACTCGCAGCTCGTCTTTACGCCACAGYTTGTCGAACATTTGCTGGTTTATCTGGAGTGAAAATATGGAATTTTAAAAGAACAGTAGAAAAAGAAGGTAAGGCAGATGGATGGAGCGGATGTAAAGTGGAGTGCACAMATTGGGAGGATGTAATGAGGCAAAAAGATGGAATGAGCTGCCATTTGCCTGAATCGTCGGGGAATACTTACATCACCCTTATCATTGGTAACTTCTTTGGCAAAGACTTTATAATCATAGCCAAATGGACTTCCTTTCCCTTCGTTACTAGGAGGCCAGTCACGGGATGGATTAAGAATCCCGCTCTTTTTCGCAAGGTCGCCCGATGATTGGATGCTTCCTCCGGTCACCAAAGAAATACGCATTCCAGCATCACGGAAGGTTGATATTGCATGTGATATCTGCAATGAGAACGTGGGATCAGCATTATATTTACCACTATTTACCAAATATTATTATCACCCACACAAATATTATTGCGACAGTTAACTCTATCGAGCAAATTCACATAGCTGTACTTACTCTAAACCAAGTTTAATTAAAAGCTAAATACCTCTCCTCGTTCTTCTTCAACAAGACCCAAGTAGCCAATAAATTTCAAGTCGGACAAGATTTCGTCTCTRTTGTTCCAGTTTGGAGGACCATTGTCTAAAATATGGAGAGGCAATCATTTACATCTACTCTTATTTTATATGAATTAGCTTTTAGTTGTTTTTACCTGAGTTAATTTCCTTAACAGCGAAAGCTACTACTGTCATCTCTTTTTCCTGYAGTCCTACACATTCATCAAAAATCCTCTTCTTGCCCACATCGTCCAGTTCCATTTTCTCGTCAGGGTGGTTTGGGATGAAGCTMTTTGAGCGTGAGAGCACAAAATTCACGCCTCCTTTCACGTACACTTTATAACAATGTTCTTCAGGAATTTTGATGACTGTTGCCGTGTACTGCTTGCTTTCGTCTTCTGAAGCCAAGCTTTTGTATTCAATATGCTTCTGACGAGGRTATTCGTCTCTGTAATACTGGTAACCACATCCGATATTTACCAGGAATTGAAGCAGGGCGCAATCGCGTGGGTCACCTACGTGTTGGCTGAGACCGTCTTCRCCTTCATTCTGCGTGTAAAACATGAAATTGATTTAATAACCGTTTTGGGGGTCATGGTTTGCTCTTCTTCATATGGCAAAGCGAGTAGCGATAATTGGAGCCGGTGTAGGTGGTTTAACTTCTATCAAGAACGCTCTAGATGCAGGCCTTAAACCCACGGTCCGATATGCCCCTACCCTCATCACTCAGCAAAAATCAAATTTTATGATGTTCAGGTGATTATATTATGAAAAATGAATGCAACTGTCAAAGATCGCAAAAGAAGATTTCTCTACCCCTACCTACTACCCTCAGTTTTACCTTAATGTCTGATAGATAACTGGTATTCACTGCAACACCCCGGATGAAGTCCTCCAGAAGCTCTGCATTAACTGTCTTTAGGTACTGCTGCAGCATCACTTGGATTCCAAATTGWTTTTTTGAAAGTAATTTTCCAGCAGCCACATTCATGCGGGTTTCTGCACTCTGATGAGARTATCAAATACAATGACATTAATATCTAGAGAAGATCAATTAGAAAAGTTGGGCAAAGCTTTCACGGCAACTGATATATCAAACAGTATGGGTGAAATCCAAAATCAGAACGTTCTGTCTCCATTGGATTAAACAAACGTTRATCGAGCTTTCCTACCTGTTCTTGTCCCATGGTACCTTCAATACCCATGATAGYAAYYAAAGTGTAATCTTGCTCTACTTCTTTGCTGCTCCATGCGTCTTCACCTATGACAATAAATTTCATATTTAGACACGAAAGAAATGCTTCAAGAAAAAGGCTTACGTTTAATCGAGCATTCTTYAATCATGCCGCACGTGCGCCTATCTAGTCWTAGCTGAATAATTTTACCTTTTGGTTCTGTTATTGTTCTCTGTGCCAGGCATAAGACTTTCAGTTGGCTCTTACGGACCATGCAGTTTACGGCGTCATTGATGAGTTTTCTATCCTCTGGCTCAGCGGTTTTTACACCATCTTTTGTTAAAATGGATGTACATCTTGGAAGGATGACCTCTGGCGCTCCTTTAGTAAATATCTAAAGGAAAGAGGCACGGAATCGTAAGCAACCAAAGATACCCGATTCATTATTATTTTATCTGTGTGTGAAAAATTCGGGTGACTCGGTTATCGCGGGGTAAAAACACCCTATTACAACATAGAGTTTTATCGAAATATTCCGCATYGTTTCTTTATAAGGCGCAATGCGTGAAGCAGAGGTGTTTGTATCCACTCATTTAAAAAAATGTTCTTCGTAACATTAAGGCATCCCTTTTATGCATGTCAAATCTGCTTCGTCTGAGGAACCAACACAAGACCTTTGTTCTCTTGGGAACTAGGAAACAAAATTTTGACCGCTGATGGAACTGTTCAGATAAAATTCAATGAGCCTCTAGATATATCTGTGATGCTGTTTCGCCCTCCGTATTAGAGAAGTGTCCATGTTACAAAGATATATTCCCAATAAATCAGAGAGGTTGGAGACCGAAGTTATAAATCTTACACAGTCTTTGGCTCCACCYTCAGCAATATCACTAAGACTACATCACGTGACAATGCTCACCTTATAATAGTCGTCATCCAGTTTGATGACTGTTGTCATGTACTTGGAATGGGGGTCGAAGGGAAAGGTTTTGAAGTGGTTTTCTTCTGGATATTTTCGTCTTATCAGTCTGTAGCTCATGTCCAAGTCATCGACAAATTCCAGGAGAGCACCTTCAGTGATGTCACCGACCACTTGCGGAACATTACCCGAATACTGGCAAAAAAAATGAATAAATTAATAAACACTTAACTTAAAATTGTACAATATATCTAGCTCAAAAATTGTCCGCAAAATAACAAATGAGAACAACAGGACTGGGATTATAAACGTTAAGTAGAGAACATGCCAGTAGATATTTTCCATTTCAAAGTGATGGCCGCTTTTTCGTTTGATAACAGTCCCGATGTCCGTACTAACTGCATTTACGCATCCGCTTTGACATCGAAAGAAATATTTTAGTGAAGTTCTTTGCATCTTTATTGAATTGAGCCTTACTGTCTAAACTACAGACGAATTATACGTGCGCATAAACAGTCTTAGCTACAAGAAGATGAGGTATTGCTTTCTTTTTTGATTTGAAATATTACATGTATATCTGAATATTTTTTCTCTGAATACATTTTTCTTGTTTGCCGTCCTCAATAGYTGGAGGAGACAGCAATACAAAATACATACATATTATGAAAACGCATCAATGTGGACAGCGCCTTTCTAATTAAATCCATTCATCCATTCATGACATTCATTTATCAAATAAATAATTCATGACATTCGTACTACTCGCTTGTTTGGTCTCGAACCACAACCCGTTATCAGATCGTAATGTAGCTTAACAAGACTATTGCGTATATATCAATTTTACCTGACTTTTCAGTATTCTTAAAAGTTTTACTTTTATTTCATATWATTATTTACCTGAAAGTTTGTAGAATAACTTGTGTTTACAGCTATTCCAACCGCTGCTTCATTGGCAATATTTTCTGMTATTTTATCTTTATAGTCGTTGGCGTCGCCGCGGAAATGTTGTCCATCGATATAGCTTTCTACTATCTCTTCTCTCATAACAAACTTGCTGACGGTTGTAAGAACGCCGTGTTTTTTGACGCACATAGCVGTGACGTTCCCCATAGTTTCTAACATGTCTGGATTACGAATAAAGATATTCTTGTTCTGCATGGACCCCATGGATGATATCATAGTGATGGTTGCAGCTAGTGATAACCCTTCAGGYTCAGCAACGATGATGATCACAACACCAATGATTATGGCTTTAATGATATCATTCCAGTGACTAGGGTCGTACGCGATGTTATCAACCTCGTACGTCTTCACCAGAAAGCTGATTAATATAACTAGCATAACAATAACCCCAACCACGATTCCMAGGATCCCAAGAACAGAGGATGCAAAGGTTAGCTTACCCTGCAGAGATTGACCTGTCATTTCTAARTTATTGGTYGCKATCTTTCGCTTGTTTTCTCTTGCTATTTTTCCAGCGCGCGTTCTTTCGCCAACTGCAAGCACCAACATCTTTCCTTGGCCTTGTATTACATGAGTACTGGTTAAGACGAATGCGTCTTTTTTGTTCTTGACGACATTTGGTTGAAGACCGATGCTTGTCTCATCAGTGATGACTTCTGTATTCTCAACAAGGATTCCATCAGCTGGGATGACACTTCCAGTCTCCAGTACCACCAAATCGCCAACTCGTACTTGTCTGTAMCCAATCTGCATGCTAATSCCGCTCCTAATCACCGTGATCTTTCGTTCACTTTCATTCTTGGTGTGCAATCTATGCCAGTGTTTGTTTCTGTAATAATCACTAAAGGCCGATATCAAGACTATAACAAGTATTGTAGCCATGATCCCAACCCCCTCCTTCCAGGCGTTGTCGTTGTTTTGGGAGATGGCTTTGCCTTGACATGTCTCAGGGTAAACAGCRCCAAGWACGACTGATGCTATAGCTGCAATCAACAGAATGATCAGTGTTACATCGAGAAATGAGTAAACCAAGTAGTGACAAAAACCCTTGACTGGATCTTGTTTGTAAAGTTGATTGGCGCCATATCTTCTTTCTTTCTCCTTCAGTAAACTAGACGTTGCTATAAGYCCCTTTGAAGTCGATGTTTTTAAACTATGKACRATACTCTTTAATCCTCCAAACTGTGATAGYTCTTGTTCGGCATCTCCTGATTTGTTTTTCAGAAGTTCCACGAGGTCGTCCGCGTTTGAAGCATCTCTCGATTTGGAAGACATGTTGACTTAACGAAAGAGAGTGTTACCAAAACAAGAAAATTCCTGTCGATTCCGTGATGTTTACAAAAAGATTCGCTGCCTACAAAAAGAAAACAGGCGGCAAACTGTACAGACGACGAATAAGCGTCAAAAAAATCGCTACCGCGATGGAAACCCTCGCCGCCTAAATTGCTGACAAGCTGCTAACAAGTTGTAAACAAGTGAGGCTCGAACGAAACTTCTAGTCCGTATACACGCTCGATATCATATAGCGTGACAATGTTATTCACAATAATCTTTCTCTTTGCTTCAATTGTTTGACGAATATAGAAAGGAATAAATTATGTTGCTTGGCGACTGCGGTACAAAATAAGCGAAGGATAACYGAAAACAAAACAACCTGTCATGTTGGAGAAGAATCGTGAAGGAGCGGACACTTGATTGACTATTGAWTATTTCACGAATGTATAGTTATAATACTTTAATTGTGAAAATATACTTTAAAATTCCATGTGTAAAATATTGTTTCGTTTTTGTACAAATGTTAGAAAATTATTCTTTAAAAGTTACAGCTCACGAGTCATCATTTAAAATCGAAACCAGTAGCCTCTAATTTTCGCTGCAAAAATAACTGTTTAATGAAAACGTGTCGCAAAATTTGGATTTATTCTTACTTGCAAAAAGTGATACTAAAGATTCAATATTCCACAATCTTGAAAATCTCAAATAAATAGTTTTAATGGCTGTTTTTTTTCGAGGATGATTGCGCACAAATTCCATACGAAAGCGTCATATACTAACATGGACTAGAATAATATCATACCAAATGCTTGGTTTTTATTCTGTGTATTTACTCAGTCACTACATTTCCAAGGATAAATTTTTACCTTTTTTCATTACAGGTGTCAAAAGTTTAACATTATTTCTCTATGATCACCTTTTGTAGAAAAATCTCAATCAGTATTTCTTTTATATCTAGTTCAGAAAACGTTGTCGTTGAATATTGAAGTTTTCATTCAATTAGCTTATAATAAGCCATTAGTTCTGTAATAAGGGGATTTAATAATAAAAATGATTGTATTGATGTATTAATGAACCATTATTTTGGAAATACACCAGTGTATGTACTACTGAGAGGTTGCTCCGTTCACTAATAAAAACGCTTGAAAGCAACGAGAAGAACAGAAAAATCAACGAGCTGCAACAAAGTCCTTATTACTTGAGCAGACTTTTCAGAGTACTCTATTACGGAGCACAGCAAGGGCTCATCTATTATTATTTTTAGATATTTTTTGATTTCATAGGGGTACGTCTAATTACGAGTTTATGACGTCATCACCACGCTCCGCTTGCATAAAGTATAGTTCTCGGCCAATCAAAACACGTGAAGAATCTCAGTGTATWGGACAACCTTGTATGTGGGATGACATGGGAAGGGATTAGTAACTGATTAGTTTTTTATAAAGCCTCTTAGTGAATTGTCCCCTAAAAACATTTTGTGTTCCATTAATGCAATTTCCTGGTATTGTTTTGAAAATACACTTCAATTATGCACGCTGTACTGAAAGTAAAAGAAAGACACATATTGATCCTGCTATAACAACTTCCTTGCGTAACATTCTACTTGCCTTGTATAATAGAAGTTTCCTCAAAGATTTCAAATAAAATCGTCTGATAATTACACAAATAATATTAGTAAATTTTGTAGTTTCACGCCATGCATCTTCTACCAATATTCATTTGAAGTTTTTCCCGAGTATTGAATCTCGTTCTGTCTTTTTCTTGTACATTATTCTGACTCTTCAAATTATTTACAAAATACTGAACATCTATTATCCAATTCTCCGATGACCACTTCATAATTTGTAAACAGGGTTATGCCTWCAGGTATAAAATGCTTTTGTTCCAAGCATTTACAAAACTTCCATTTAGGCGTAAAAGATCATTGGCTTTTGTTTCACTTATCATAATAAAATGCATGTAAGATGAATTTTCAACTCATTRTTGTTACAACTAAAATTACGAAAAAAGGTCTCGTAAATCACCTTAAATGGTAATTCTGCACCAAATAATTCAGAAATGCCTGCCGTATGATAATTTATTGAGTTCCAGTTTTCTGGCTTAGTCCTCATGATTCGTATGGACGGTTTTTTTGTGGATTTGTGAATCGCTCACAAATTTTCGATCTTCCAAGCACGTACGTAAAGTAAGTATGACTGCGAACTGGAAGTCAAGAATTTTCCAAAAATATATGATCTGCTACAATAAAAACATGAGCCTTGTTTTGCTATGAGAGAATAAAACTCGGAAGTTTTCGTTTTTTCTTTCATAACGGTTGAGTGAAGTTCACATTACGAGCGAACCGCGGTCAGGAAGTCAATGTAGCTATCTGAAACTCCCCCACAATTGTCTGCAAAGCAGTTAGACAACGTTACACCTGTCGAAAGTCTAGAGAAGACGAAATATCGCTACAGTTTTCCCCTTTACCAATAGTATGACGAAATAAAACCACATTGGTATCCTTTTAGAGCTCTCTCGGTACTTGTCCATACAGTAATTAGAATTGTTTCTGACATAAGTAGTCATCAGTATTTCAAAACATGTACTTGAAACCGTACCTTCAATAGAACTAGTGTATCAGTCTTCATCAGTTATTATTATTATTATTATTATTATCAATTATTATCAGTTATTGTACTCTGATTTTAAACCAATGATGAAATCGCATTTTTTCATCATTAATGTAATTATTTTTATCATTATTATCATGCTCTTGTTAACATAATTCGGAAATTAAAAAAACTAACTTCATACGTCACGTCTCACCGGCCAATAAGAATCGAGATCAAGTCCTCATTACAAAATGTATAAATAATCCGTTTTCTTCAACTTTCGTCTTCAAAAAGGTTGACAAACGAGTCTTACGACGAGCGGCTAGACCCTCTTTTCAAGGTAAGCCATGCATCTGGTACCACATTTAAATAASAAAGRCACYAAATTTGCGACGAAWTTCCACCTATTAATTGAAAAATATAGAAACTGTGAAAAGTAACTCTGAAWTTCAATTAATTAAAAAGAGAAGAATTTTGATTGATTAAAAAAGAGTAAGCTCCAGATTTGATTGTACATTTTTGAAATATTTTCCAATGCCAGGGGATTGAATATAATGTAAACGGCAGTGAATTATGTGATAGCACTAACGGCTCTTGGTTTTAGCGTTTATCAACTTCCGACAAGATTGCTCGACAAAAAAAGTCAAATAAAGAAATGTCTTATTATCAGTAAATTAGATTTTGAAGAGGATTTGTTCCTTTAGATCCCTCACTTCCTTGTATTCAGCCRTTGATTCCATTGCTTTTCACTTCTCTTTTTTCTCACAATCGTTTTAATTCGTCTCTTCTCATTTTGCGTTCCCATCCGTTCGCAKTTAGTTAAATTCTTTTTCGTTTTTCTAGTCTTTCTTGAAATTTTCCATCACTATTTTGATTTTATCATTGTCAACTGGGTTAGACTACTTTATATAGTGCAGTAATATTTATTTCGAGAGGGGAGCACGTCTAAGAGATAACTGCATGGCTTCTGATAACGATTGTAAAAGAACATTGACAATCAGTTACTCCGAATACTGAACGTTGTCAACAGGAATTCAAACAAAACTGCATTAAATCCACGCCCCTGTCAAACCCCTTAGATTTGTAATCTGCTCTGTGGATAACACACGCAAAAAGTTTTTAACTTTTCTAGCTAAAAATCGAAACGTTTTTGAATTTCCGTTTATCAGTAATAAACAAAAAGAATGTGAAAAATTGCACATTATGATGATAATGACGTTTTGTTTATGTGCTATTCTGAAGTATATTTTCAATACGAGTGTAAATTGCTAAAGGGGAAATGCATTGTAGGAAAGATAAATTCGCCTTTAGGCTTTTTAAGATCTAGACTTGTTTTATTATAACAAAAAACCAAATTAAAACAATGTCAGTAGAGAAAATGTCATTAACAGTAGTGGGTTGACAATTTAGGCCTCGCCAGTCCGACATCTTACCTTACTAGTTTTGAAGCAAATATATATAATTCATTGATTGGCTAGTGATATTGAGACTTAAAAACAGAGGTAATTTTATTAGAAAGATATCATWGACCATTGTTTTTGAGATATGGTTGATTTTTATCGATATTACTATTCATACCTTTTCAATGAAGACTATTTTTAAAAGCTTACAAAGGACSACCATGGTCAAAACCAAACAGAAGCGATTCTTTGACTATTATCTGCTGTATTACCAGATGCCGAAGGCAAAACAGCAACTGARTTCCTCTATAAAGTTAGTCTGTAGCAACAAATATCACTTCAATATAATGTTAACAACTATTGACCAATTTATTTATTTCAAAACCGTCTGTACAATTGCCACGTTGTGTCTGAGTGAGGGTTTTTGGTGTGAATTCGAGTATGAATGGAAGTATAAAATTGTTTCTATAAAAAGACTTACCCACAGGACATCGAATTTAATCCTGTTCTAAATATAAAGTCATTATTACATCCTCCTATTTTGGATATTCGAAGACATTTTTACCACCAAATTCTAAATTTTCTCGATWKTTGCAAGATTGTTCATTTCTTCTTGGATCTCTATCTAATTGTAGAATATTTTTTTGTATTAAAAAACAAAACTCTGAAACTCATGTTCAATATTGATCAGTCTGGCTGTACGTCAGTCATAAGATGAAGTTATCGACTCGTGTGGGATTACTGTTGTACTATAACAAACTCAATTGCTATTGCTATACTGAATATACGGCACGGCCACGCCCACAGGTTGTAATGTGCACTCATTTCATCTCTTTCTTCTATTTAATGAATTCATTTTGATTGTTTTTCAGATGAAGAATTTGAGTCTAYTTGCTTGTTCCGTTATATTCTTGCTTACACACCGTTGTTCTAGTCAATGTACTGCATGTTCGTGCTGTAATGGAGAAGTTGCTGCCTGCTTGTCTTTCTGCGAGAATCCAAACGAATGTGGACGGTGTAGTACCAACGCTGATGAGTGTAGAAACAGTTATTGCAAGAGAAAGAGAACCCAAACTGGTCTGTCGCAGCTGTTAAAACTATCCAARAATCAACATAAAAGTAATAAGAAGAGTTTCAACTTATAAATGCTTAGGAGAATGACGGTCGATGGATCATCATTACTGAAAAGTTCGCTTTGGAATCAAAAATAGGAAAAATAATTTAATAAAATATACGAAAAACAAATGGTCTGGCTTATCACAAAAACTGTTGACTCTAGTAATGCAAATAAACATTATTTTAATGTGCTTTTTCTAATCAGGATTCCCTGGTGTCATGAATCAGATAATGCACCGATTCGATTTGTTAACTTTTTCATGATAGACGGAAGGTTATTAGACGCATCGACAGTTTTCGCTTTCATTTCTATGAGACTAGATCAAAAAAGATTTATATCATTATGGATACTATCTTTTGACGATTTAACATTAAGCCCGAGTATTCCYCCGTGATGAAATGTGACAGTTCATAGCAATTCATGTTGATACTGCRTGTAACGTGAAGGCAAAAAACGTTCGGTCTAGTTGCKTAGAAATCTGTAGACTGGGATCGATCATCACAAAGATTTGAAAGGTTGTCGTAAAAAAATGTAAAAAAAAATGAATACTTGGTGAAACTAAATTAAAATAGTCTCTTTGATTTCCAGCAGCTCAGGTGACTCAGGTCAAGTCGGTTTCTCCAGCTCTACTCGATCCGCTCTCCGACTCCGGGCRTCGTGTTTACATGTCGCTCTATATTCTTATTAAACGACGGATATCATAAATATCATAAAGTTCTCAATGGTGGCTCTTGGACAAACAACAGCCTTGAGCTACAGGTTATAATTCAAACGGATATGATCAAACGACACCATTAAAGCTTGTCCGTCTTTGCTTTTGGTGCCGAAAAGAGGAGATCATTGATGACACTCGACAATTGTGTACCAAGGGGACCCCTTAAATTTCACCTGCCAATATAAATTGCACAAGCGCGCAAGCGCGTGAATTCAAGCAGCTTTCTCAAAGTACTTTTCCATCAGAAGAAATTCAATTCAGTTTCGCCTTTTATTTCCTTTGCTTCTACATGCAATAACCTGAATTCCACATATTAGATTTRATGCATTTTTGTAAATGTGAATCTACCTAACACAAAATTTCCGAGCGAGGAAAACTGCGAGAGATCAACGACTGTTGCTCGACTCCATGAAGCTTGAAATTCTCAGGCTGTAAGCTTAACTTACATTTCATCTACAACTTTAATATAACGAAGAGGTAAGTTGGAATGTTTGTTTGTTTTCTGTTTGAAGGTGGACTTAGCTTTGCAGTTACTGTATTGTATTTTATAATCCATAAAAGTTGTTGAAGCAGCCAAGCATGGTCCTCGTGTTGTGATTTCAGGCTACACGGCTCAAAATACAAAACATTTCATGCTGTTAGTTAGTTGTGTGTAAAATTGCCAGGTAATTGGGCAATTTTCAGYGTTTTAAAGTGTAGTATTTCGTTTCAAGAGTTTCTGTTTGTTGTTATATGTAAGTAAGTCTTTGTCTATTTTTATTCAATACCGGTTGCACGAATAATTACTAGTAAGCTTTGAGCTTAACAACTTTTACTTCTCCTTTAAGTATATAGCTTTCATGTCCTTTCATAGCTCAGTTACTTCGTGACCCAGATATTAGTTTATTTTTCTATAATATTTATAACGAAATCTACGAACGTATATCGAACAGTCAATGTATCGAGTCAGTCCGTACCGAGTTTGGTGGCTGTATTGTTGTGCAGCATATTTACATAATTCAATTCAGTACTGTGGGATGATGTCAACCTTTTGTGCCAATAAAGCAGATGTGAATATCYATATGAAAAATAAGGCTTTCGATAGACATCGAATTTATACGGAATGTGTATTAAATCATGGTAAAATATTGCAAACTTTCAGACTGTGGCAAGTAAACATTGTGGGTACCTATTGATTAATGTCAGTAATACTGCCTGTTAAATATTGAGTTTAAAATGTTTACGAAATTAATGGATCCTGTTCAAAGCTTTAAGCTCAATATTTTRTATATAAATTGCTCCTTTTCATTCGTGAGCAGTATGAAAAATTATTCTTCAATTTACTGTTAATGTAATATTCTGCAAATTCGACCTTGGAAGTCGTTGTCATAACCACTGCAAGCCACAGGAAACCCAACAAATGATTTTACCACCACTATATATATGAAGTCTATTATATCAATAAAAGAGCTAATGTTCAGAAGGTATTGATTTYTGTGCCGTGCTGTAATTTSTTTGGTTACGAAATCCATAAATTATKCAATTAAAATTATTTGATTTTTKTATGAATTGTTTGATGATTTTGWAACCYTTCCTTTGGAAATAMMCAAAGCTTGCACRAGKGAAAACCAGCAAACGAGTGCATCAGAATGTATGCCATTTTTGAATTACTTAAATATTGCAGGGAATCAGCAGGAAAAGGAGTTTCACGAACCCTTTAAAAAACCGTCTCTTCCTGATCATGGAAATGCCTTATCGTTAACATTCCGTTTGTTGTGGGACTAAAGACGTAACTGAGTACTAGAATTCTTGGGTTTCACGTGACGTCACAAAAAATGTATATATTATCTAATATGCATCCTATGATGATGCAAACTATTTAACAAATAGATCTCATTTTTCCGTGCGTGTGTACTCTAAATTAGAGTACACACGCACGGAAAAATGAGATCTATTTGTTAAATAAGAACAAAAAATGAGTGTACAATTCTTTGGTTCTCGAGATATTAAAATCTTGAATTTTGCACGCAACGCCGTCACGGACCTGTGAAAACCAAGTGCAATTCGATGTGCATAAAAAAGATTGCCTCATATAGACACATTTTATTGACTGCAAGAGTATCATAACGAAATATGTCAACAAAACTTCAAATTTCTGTCGTTGCAAGCCTTTGAATCTGACCAMCGTCTGGATTTCCGCCATAAATTTTGCGTATCTTCGATTRCGAATAATCCCGYAACCAAATGCTCAACAATCCTAAGTTTTTGTCAAACTATGTAGCTTTTTATGCTCTAAAAGACTATGAATTTAATATTTTAATGCGAGTAAAATAAAAATTGTGATAACGTAACTGAAACCCAAGTTCAGTGTGTATTCACTTATTCATTCAGTGCTCTTTTCCCTGCTCGTGGTTTCCACTGAAAGACCAACATGAAGTTTATATATTTAGCAAAGCTGCATGACAAGCGATTAAACATTATTRTAAAAAAAATCAAAACACTCCCGTTGAGAGGATAAAGATGATCTATAGTACGTGACAATGAACAAAAGAAAATATCGACGTCAAGGGYATAMTAACTATTGTCATTGACGASTCTCTCACGGTCAAATGAAAATCGCTTTATGTGCTAAAGCCTGAAKGTCCTGTATAACTTATAGCATCGTTATCAAAGGCAAAGTGGAACATGAGTTGGTATTGTACAGAATTTATTTTTTTCTTAGGCATGCGTCGGTGAAATTTCCAGTTGTTGAAGTACTTATGAAATGTTGTGAATTGTTGATAATCACGAAAATTAATCACCGATGTATGGTTACTATTTTACAACGCTTAGTTTTACTCAGTGTTTAAAGATAAACTAAAGCATGCAATARCTGATACCACTACGGGATATAAGGGTTTAGAAGCTTGCTCTCTTCGCGTGCACTCYAYCTGTYAACATTGCGTGCTCATTGATTAATCACTGCTTTTAATTGTCAAATGACTTGTCGTTATTTTGTCATTCAGTTTTATTTGTATTTATTGCATGTTTAGGGAGAAGTGGTTTTCCTATCGAGCTCCTCTCATGTCTTCTGAGAACAGCTTTGTAAGTGACCATACAGTAGTGAAGGTAAATGACAAGAGCAAACGAGTGATTTTAAGACAACGTCTGGCCATCCAAGGACTGGTGGTATTATGTCTTGTGGTGACGATGCTGTTTGTATGGCAACTCACCGTCAATGTCACGAACAACAAGGTGAGAATTCTAGTTTACAATGTTAGCATTCACAGCAAGTGTGGATATGACCGGATGACAAGGGGGGGATCCCAATCCATTACTCGCTTCTGTTGATGTTTCACTTCTGTTGAGCTAAAATTCAAATATATMATAAATATTGTCATATTTTCTGAAAAAAGACAAGATGGAATTGGGATTTTTAAACGGATTTCATCTCAAACTGCGTGACGGTATTTTTGCCAAGATTATCGAATCACGACCGCGATGCATGCTGGTTGATTGTGTCACTTTAGGAAGCCAGCTCGGTGGATCAATAGAAGCYAAGTTGACGCCGTGCGTGTCTCTGTTATCTGATATAAACACGTTAGAATAGAATCAAACCACACGAGTGTTCCATCTCCCACCGCCGTGTTTTTATCAGGCAGAGAAGCGCAGATAACCTTTTCTCTGTTATATAAACACGATCATCAGYCAATGRGACWAGTGCGCGTTAAATCTAAAATATTAAATAAAATCAATTATAGATTGATATYATGAGCACTATGGACTGGGACCRAGTGGAACGTGATCGTGATRCACAGTTACTAACATGARCTCTTATCTTATTCATGCAGACTTCAAGCAAGGGAAACCGAAAACCAGACAAAACTGATGTACGTAATTGCATTTATTATTAGTATATTATTAGTATCCAGTAATGTGTCGCTTGACTCTGTCGTGTTACTAATACGATGAAATATCCTACCAATAACGCGCATACTCGTAACCAAGGTGGGAGTGAAGTGAGTAGTGAGGCTAGAAAAAAATGGTGAAAAATAGGATAGTTGTAGACAAAATCCTGACTTTACTCTTTGCAGAATCTTCTCAAGATAGAAGGACAGCCGTGTCCGATTGTTCCGTCTCAGCAGCTACTCCCCAGGCTACTACCGGTCACAGTAAGCAACGCCTTGGACGTTGTTGACGTTGTTTATCGATCGTTGACCGAACTGGATGAATTGGTATGTATGTATGAAAACTATGCCTAAGATAAATTAGTCCGTACTRTACAGAAACGTCCGTATTATCTAAAGGTGCCAGTAAACAATATTGCTGCAGATGTACGATATTCAGACGTACGYCYTTCTTTGGCCGTTCTTTGKCCGTTTTATCAAGGTTATTCACCCTTCCCTGTTGTGAAGCTCTGCTTTAACTTATATTTTGTCTGTTATAGGAAGGATTAGCGGCRAGYCTAGTRTACAAAGATAAAGTCGTTTGGAAGAAAACATTTGGAGTCAAAGACAAAAAAGACGCCACTTCCACGRCTCCCGATGAAAATACTGTATTCAGGGTGGCGAGCGTCAGTAAAATTCTAACGGTGAGAACTAATCCCTGCAGGAATAGATCATTAGAAGTGATCAGTGATGTCATCATCAGACGTTTTTGTGGTTACTCCCGTCCTTTAGGAAAATAAGAGTGAAAACAAGTCTGTAACGCCCGAACGACCGATTCTTTTTCCGAGACCTGTTCGACTTTCCGATCTTGTCTATTGTCTTAATACTATCCTTGTATTTATTTTATCATTCGTTTAGGTGCTGTTTGTGTTTAATTTGCTGCGCACTGGAAGTATATCTAGCCTAGACGATCACCTTGACAAATATGAGCCTAACTTTGTTGTGGTTAACAAATTCAATTCGGACAAGATTACGCTAAGGTTGGCTATTCATGTTGCATGCAGTCTCGTTTTTATACTTTATTTAAGGAATAAAAGACGAAATTCCGTGTTTGATACTCTGGTTTCCAGCTTTTCGAGTGCTCTCCCTACATCCCAAGTGTTTTGATCAGAGTATCAAACACGGAATTTCGTCTTTTATTTCTTTTCTAAAATTAAAAGAAAAAAAGAAATTTTTGACGTGCGCGAGCGTGTTTTGATACTGTAATCAAACATGGTTTTCGACCAATCACAGCGCGCGTAGTATCCTAAATATTTTAGAAATACCTTTAATAAACAAGTGTTGTATTCCAGACACATTTTGACTCATACATCTGGTCTACCAAGAGAAGTACCGTGTGGAGAGAACTGGTCTAAAAGTAGCACCAATCTATGTCCTGTAAATACCACCTATGTACTGGAAAAGCTTAAAACTATGTCTCTGAAATCGCCTCCTGGYCGAGAACCAAACTACAGGTACAACCTTCCTGATATTCYGCTACTTTTATTACATGATTTACATTGTATTTTGCGTTTGTTTTAGTAATCTAGGTTTTGCTCTTATGGCTCGTATTCTTGCCCAGCGGTTTGCCAATGGAAACTACGAGGACTGGGTCATACGTAACATTCTTCTTCCATTAAATATGAGAAACTCTGGGTTTAACGTAAAAAGGTAACTATTTGATTCTAGAGTGTTTTATATGTCATCTGCGACAATGATTTCCCTCTTTCCAGAAACAATGTTTCCGGTTTGTGTCAGACTCGTACCCAGTCGTTACGCTCGAAGAGGTTGATGGGAAGGCGGGAGAAAAAGTCGCCCTTCCCTTGATGCATTGCGCGTCTCTAAAAAAAGCCGGAGAAGCGACTGGGTACGAGTCTGGGTTTGTGTATCAAGCTTTCGCTGACAATAAATTGCACAGGCTCTACGATTGWACGTATTCTCTCCTAGACAAAGGAGAACGGTTTGGAAGCTACCTCTTGAGTGTCTTTTCGTGACATTCATGTTTTGCTTTCCAGTATGTCAAGTAATAGAGCATTGAGTTATGGACTGAATGGACTCAACTCCAATGTGGACTGGGGCTGGGCTGCGCCTGCATTCCAGTTGTACTCATCAGCAGCGGATTTATCAAAGGTATGTGTTAATGATTGGTAGATGAAAACCGAAGTTTGGTCGTCAAATTTGTCTTTTTGGTGCATTTTCCTCACCAATTGTTGGTTGTGGTCYTTATCTTGGTTACGGACCTGATGCAAAAACTATTGAACACACCACAATTTCCCTTGTGCGTCTTTTTGAACTTATTACTTTATTTTAAATTCACAGTTAATGATGGCATTTTTCCAAGCCGCTCCTTTAAGGATGGTGAGACCAGATCTACTTATTCAGATTCTTACACCAAGTGAGTTGAATTTCATGGGATATTTTGATTTGGGTGCGCCGCTGACCATTGTGCATGTGTACTCGATCATGTAGTAGCCTAGGGTCAATGGGTTATGACGGTGAACAGACTGGAAAGTACGGAAAATATAACGGATTTTTGGTCTCGTTGACGTCATCTTATTGTGTTTGCTGGATCACTGCCGGATCTTAATGTGTTTATTGAATTTGCCAAAGTTTTTTTGTTGGGGAATGTTGAACTAGCAAAAAAGGATTTTGCTTTCTCAGCAGTTTTATATCAATACATCCTTTTGAAGTTTCGTACTTATCAATTGATCAGTGGAAATACTTTATATAACCGCTGAATCATGGTGAAAAATTTCGTTTCATAAACACCGCTCCAGCGCATTTCATCAGATTTTAAATGATTACATTAATAATGTATTCGAGTGGTTTTCATTAACCCGTGAAACACACTTTAGCGTATTTATCGCTTTGGCTCTTTTGTTTTTTATTGTCTCTACGCGACTATTACAATCTATWACACTCTAATTATTACACTTTGTTTCACGGGTTTATGAAAACCACTCTATTTTGGTAACAAGTTATGTTTTTTTTAGACTTTGTCTACCCCGATGGCACAACAATGGTTGGGATGGGATGGGAGATGAAGCTCACAGGATCGTATATATTGGTATCTAAGTCTGGAATTGTTCCTGGATATTCTGCTGGGTTTGTGTTCTATCCAAAGCTACAGTTAGGTAAGGGGATTGTGGATAAATTTTATAACTAAAAGTCTATAWGTTTACCCCTGATTGGGAGTCTCTTTTCGTCCCACTCTCCCTATATTATACACCAGAGAGGTATAAAGTGATGCCAGCGGAGATGGCTCATCATTGACAGGGTCTCATATTTTTTAGGTGCTGTTGTTCTCATGACTGGCCGAGAAATTGCACCGTTAGGAGCCGAGCTACTGCTGAAACCTTTAGCACAACGATTTGTGCTATACATGGTGAATCAAGTACAGGTTAGTGTATATTGTATATTATAAACACACTGAGTTATTAATTAGTATAACCTCCAATCGTGATTGATGGACAATAGTTGCAATAGTCATCGGTGTAATGTTTGGGGCAGACTTTGTGTTTGTTGCTTTTTTTGTCCTCAGCTTCTTCAAAGCTCATTGGTTATTGCTGTTGCGGTGTTGTTGTAGTAGTTGTAGTAGTTGTAGTAGTTGTTGTTGTTGTTGTTGTTGTTGTTGTCATACTTGCTCAGGTCTTTGTTGTTTCGTAGTTGACCAAAACTGTCATATCATATTTTCAGATCAAAGCCCCCCCTGATCCTAAGAAGTACCTAGGTGCGTACGATCTCGTCTCGAAATGGATACAAACGGTAGTTTTTAATATAACACTACAAGACAATGTACTTCAACTAAAGCAGTCACCAGGCTTCCCTCAAGTCTCATATCTTAATTTCATTGAAGACAATCTATTGGAATTAGTATATAAACCAGGGTTTACGTGTCCAGTTTATGGAATGGGACAAAACCACGAAAGACTACGCTTCAAAGACGCTGATTCTAGTGGACGATCGCCAGGTTTTCAGTTCGGTTCATTTCAGTTTGTAAGAGCTAAACACACGAGTAAATCTCTGGTAACGCCCGTCAATTCTAAAATGCCTTTATCGAAAATATTTTAAATACTACGACGATAAAAAATCCATGCAGCCCTGGATATGAGATGATATCCTAGTKCTTGAGTAGCCAATCAAAGCGRGAGGTGCTGTTTTGTGGTGAATATGATACATATTTGACGAATCTGCTGGCAGAAATCAGAAGTACTGGTGCATTTTGACATTATTTAAGTGCGCACATCGTACGGCATTAGCGCTTATACTGGTCCTAGTGACTGGGTGCGTAATGCTCTCTGGGAAAGCCATTTCTATTTATTGGTACACGGCAAAACGTCTAGAGTAGATATATTTATTAAACGATTAATCTTGTTGATATCGCGCGTTTCATAAAAAAATCGTTTTTACACAAAGTAGGTATGGTTTGTATTGAATTTTGTATTATATATTTAAAGGAAAATAATATATATTTTTTTGGGCATATAGTTTGAATACGATAGTATATAGTGTGAAGAACAAGAGAAGAGTACTATATTTATGATATAATAATAATTAATAAAGAAAAAATTGAAAACTTTTATTGTTTTTTTTACTATTTGCAATTCCTCAATTCGTTGATTATTATCACACCCTATGTGTCAGGAAAACCTATGTCATGAAACCCTATGTGTAAAGTAAATTTGAACTTTTTTTAAATAATCACTCCATGAAATGAGTAAATGTAACAGTGAATCTCCTTTG